TGTAGTTCATTGACTGGTTCACACCCACATGAATCTGGGTCATTGGAAAATGGGACAGATGAGGAGATGCTAGCTCCTCAGACCTCATTTAAGGCTCGAAGTGGGCCACTACAGTATGGTTTGGGATCAGGTTTCGGGGTAGGTTCAACATCAGCTGCACAAGCAGTTTCCACCGAACCAGGAATGACACCTAGAGAGGTGGCTTTGCAAAACACTCGATTGATCCTTGGGCGGGTGCTCGACAGCTCCGCCTTGGGGAGAAGGGAATATAGAAGGCTGGTACCTTTTGTAACCACAATAGGAAACCCTTGACCTGCAGGGTTGCACTACAATTTTACCCTTTCTTCTTTTGATAGTAATAATCATACTTTTTGATCAAGCACTTGGAAAACTTGGAACCTGGCTCTGCAAATAGATATCAAAATTCTGTAAATGTAGTTAGTGTTGTAATATTTTAGGAAGTGTAAGCATTCCAGGTCCCTTGAAGTCCATGCCTTGTATCAACTGATTTTGGTAATTGTACAATTCCTTCGAGTTCTGTTTGTTGATTTATGCCTGGCCTGGCTCATTGCAGTCGAAAATACCGTATTTGAGACTAACTTGTACACATTGCTATAATCCGACAGTTGTCACTATGACATGAGCAAAGATTTCTTGCTCTCAAAGTTGCCTGATATCAACGTTTTTGATAATAGATGCTACTCAACACTCGGTGGATCGCAGTGAGACTTGTAAGTCCTATTAATTGAGATGTGCAGTTCAGTCAGCTTCAAAGAGAACGAAGCTCATCAGCTGAGGAAACTTGAAATTGGTTCTAAAGTAAGCCTGTGAATGAGATTTAAGGGCTTCTAATTCAGTTTTTGTTCCATGATTCAAAATTCAAAATTCAAAATTAAAGATAGGGCATGCAAAGATTTTTCCATGGTTCAAGAAAGGGCTGATGACAATGAGAAGTCGGCTTCAGCTTCCGGCTCTAATTTCTCTCTCCTTGCTTTTTCTTTCCGATGATTTGATCGCCAATCTCATTTCCGTTTATCTCTAGCTATTACATTTTGTCAGTTTACACTTCAATTGAGGGTGAAAATAAGGAGCATTTATCAATAGAGCTTAGAATCTGCTATGCATTCTTTCCGAGTGAAAACGGTGGTTCAATAATACGAAAATATAATTATTGTAAAATTGAATTCAAAATTTAGTTTGATTAGTTTATATAATTTTTTATAAAATGACATCTAAAAATTTTAAAATATAAATCTCAATATTTATAATTTTTTTTATTTTTAAATTGTGATCAAACATAAAAAGACAGAAATTAAGTAAATGGGATCAAATAGTAATTTTAAAAAGAAAAGGGTGTCAAGAGTGTAATTTTGGTGCGCTCAAGCACCATAGCATAAGGGCATGAAAATTTTTGGGAGGATTGTGACCCTTACTTGCTCCGGACTTCGTCCCTGGCCGGGACTTCATTTATATTAAAAAAAGTCATAAAAATTTCAGTAATTATAACCTTCGTATCTTTTTCTTTCTTACAGTCTTCTTTTCATATTAGTTTTGGATAAAAATTTTTGTTTTTAACGAAATTAAAATTAAAATTCATTGAAGTATTATTCAAAATATATGATTAATTATTATGATAATAAAAAAATAACTCAATAAAAAAGTGGACGAAATTTAGTTTATGATAAAATTTGAACTTGAATTGGTGGGGGCTTTATATATATATATATATATATATATTTATATAACAAGAGATGTTGGATGAATTTCTAAGACCTGGTGTACGCAATTTTCCTTGAAAAAAGGAAGCATGTACAGCTTGACCAAGCCCAAAAAGTTACAACTATTACTCGTAGTACTAATACTAATCTCTTGTTAGGTCAAATCTATCTGATCTATTCTACCTACTGACCAGCTGAGAGCTGATGGTATGGTTTTATTTATCGGATAAATGTTGATTAATATAAGACTAATACCAACCAATCAACGAGCTCAAAGCTGATCGGATGCTTCGTTAATGGTATTAAATATTACTCCAGCAGATAACTCTAATTGACTTGCAGAGTTGCTGCGTGGTTTGAGTCGATTATTATATTTTCTGAAATATATTCGTTGGGGCCTGTTGAATACCGACATTTGATTAAATAATTTAATTAATTGCTGGAGTTAGGTTAGAAAGATTCACATTTAATTTGTATAATATTATTCGTTATAATTCAAAAATTTTATGATTTTATTTTATAAGAAATATATCACAAGTTTAAATTTAAAATTTGATTATATATTATTATAAAATTTTAAAATATTTCAATATAAAATTGAGATATTATAAACTTTTCTTTTAAAGTTTGATTTTTCATCAAATCTAACATAAACCATAAAAAATTCATTGAATAACACTAAATGTTAAGTAAATTCAATATAAAACATAAGATACTAAACGTTATGGATTTATAGATGTTGATGGTAATCGAGGTATATACTTGAATTTAAAATTAATATATGCCAATAATGATCGAGGTAAATATTCGCATTAAAAGATAACATATGTCGAATCCAATATAAAACACACAAATCTATTAAATTATACCAAATGTTAAGTAAGCTCAATACAAAATATTACATAAATCATAAAGTCACACTAAATATTAAGATTTTAAAAGTATAGATTTTAAAAGTGATTTTTATTGTATAATACGTAGCTCTTATTTAAATTATAATTATTTTGATATCATTTGTGAAAATTTATATCTAACTTATGAGATATTATTCGTGTTAATTTAAAAATCTATTAATTTTATCTTATAAAAAATATTTTATAAATTTAAATTTAAAATTTTACTTATATATCATAATAAATTTTTAAAATCTTTTAATGTAAAATTAAAATACCACGTAAGCTTACTTCATGACCTTTTCCAATAATAATTAAATTGTATGTCTAGGATAATTTTTATTGTTCCCCTTCCATTGATTACCGCATCGTTTTATTTTTCTAATATTGATCGATTATGTATTTGTCATTTTGTTTCAACTTTCAATCCAAGTTAGATTTGAAATAATGTTAAATATTACAATTGTTATACTACTTAGTACATTTTATTATTTAATTGTTCAAACATGTCACGTGATAATATTGAACATTTCTGATTTATTTAGTTACTCAAAATTATTAAATCTATCTTCAATCACGGTAAATCCATCAGACTTGTTAATAAATTTTGTACTTCAAAGTAACAAAGTTTTGAGATGTGATTTGGATGACTTTTAATATCCTTTAAAAAGAATTAATTCACTAAAATTGGATCAAAAGACACCAATTTGTAAATCTATCAAATTATTTCAGCTTAAGAAAGAAATTGGGTTTTCGAAGTTTTTTTTTTTTTTTTTTTAAGTTATAAAGCAGGACACTCAAAACATAAAAAACATGAAATGGGAAAATGCTTTAAAGAGTAACTTATAGTTAAATAAAAAAAATCAATTAGATTTGAAATAAATAACCAACAAAGAAAATTTATTAAATCCTAGCTCCCTCCTTTTGATTGTGATGAACTTAAACAAAATTAATTAAATTTGATTAAAAAAAAAGTAAATTGTGGAATGCTTGAAAATTTTGAAGACTTACTAATCTTAATATCTAGAGGTTGATTGCAACGAAAATGCCTCCAGAGAATTTGAACAAAAATTTATCAAACTTAAAAGGAGATAGAAAAAAGCTTTAACAAGATTCAAAATGAGTTCGATTATCTAGGACTGAAGTAATTACACTGCTAGGCTAAATTTGTTATGTTGGGAGTGTGTGTAGTTGTGTGCTTTGAGCTGCTGGCGGTCTCCGACTTTTCCGACAATTGATTCCAAAATTTTTTTGCAACTTCTTTCACCACCAAAGGTTGCTTCAATAATTTCTTGCTGAGTTTTAGGAATCCAATTGCTATCTATTTTTTTCTTCATACCAATTCTGCCACGTGTATTCATATCATTGGCCAAAATAAACTTAATTCGGTTGATTTGGATTAATCCTCCTGTAAATCCTCTTAACACATTTTTTAGTTGCTAATTAATTTGGATGAAAATTATCACATGTCTATCCGTGATCCATCCACTTAAAGATCACTGACCCATTAAATAAAAATATCAATTTGCGAATCTTAACATAGGCAGACCATATATTTTTACTTAATATCCACATCACCTTTTATGCCAAATTATTCTCATTTCCAGTATGTCTCTTTTTCATTGGCCCATATATTTTGTTGTAAACAATAACTAAACAGTTGTATTAGCATAATATGCAAGATGAACAAAGCGTAAAGTTAAGGTGATTCTTTTTTTTTTTTGGGGGTGGGGGGTGGGGACTGAAATTATTGTTTTAAATATTCATAAAAGAGAATTTTTTGCTTTTAATTTTTAGCATTTTATTTTCTAAATTCACTTTATGCTTTCTACTTTGTAAAGCAAAATGAGTAGGTCAAAAAAAAAAAAAACTTAAAATGAACAAAAAAAAAATTAAAATGAATAAACAATAAAGAAAAAGCCTATAAAATTTTCTGCCCATATTTCACATGTTTATTCCCTCTTTTTTTATTCACTTTTGCATTATCTGATTTGTTTATTCTTATTTATTCTTTCCTTAATCGCAACGTTTATAAGATTAATTTATTTATTTTGTTAAAAAATCAACTTATATAAAAAAGTTTTAATTTTTTTAATTTTTAATTTTCATAAATTTAAAATATAAAATTAAAGTTTTTTGTTAATATCTTTTATTTTTAAATCTATTAAAAGTAATAATTAAAAATACAAATTTTTTTTTTATTTTTTACTGTTATAAATTCTTAAAAAAATATGTTGAAAGAAAAGAATATCGGAAGACAAAAAAACGCGGGCTAGACAGCAGTGAACGGGAAACGTCGAAGACTCAGAAGCTCCACGTTCATTACAAAACCATGACGCTACGTTCTTTGATGCCATTGGTCCACGTGGCAAAGACGATTTGGTTGTCGGCCTTGCCTCTCTCTAGTTTGTCAAGAAAAAATGGAAAATTTCGCAAGTGTCCAAAAGTAATTTGCTATTCCTCCTCCTTATGCTATTATAAGTCACTTAAGTCTCAACTCCTTCACTACACTTATCATCCAAAAAAACGAAACAAACAGAATCAGTTCCTTCTTAATTTAAAAAAAAAAAAACCCTTGGCAGTTTCAACCATGGCAGAGGTTGAAATCAACGTTGTTGAAACGATCAACGGTGATTGCCACGAATTTAAGTCACTTCTGTCTTCTTCAGACAGAGATTTCCTCGTACGCAACAACGGTGATCAGGTAATTAACTCCCGCAAAAAAATCTTTCTTGTGTGATATTTTCTTCTTGTTATTTTTATCAATGTTTGATCAAAAGGGTTTTCTCTTTTTCTCTGTTATTTTTATGAAGTAAAGAGGGTGTTGAGTTTAGTTTTTTTTTTTTTTTTTTAAACTTAGTTCTTCTGAAGTTTTAGTCTTTTAGAAGGGAAAGCTGGATGATTACTAGTTTTTTTATAATGAAAATTTGTTTCTTCATCTATTTTAAGATTAGAAACAGTCAACTAGGATGTCTTCTGAACTGGGTTTGGAGCATTGGATTGCCAGCCTCATTCAAACTGAATTGAGTAGTTAATAGGGTGAAAATGATTAAGCCAGTTGTTTTATTTTTCAATTAAAAAATGTCTCTAAACATTTATTTCAATCTGCTTTTTCAACGACTGTGTCTGATGACCGATAATAATAGTATGACATTAAATGACATATATAATTTTGATGTTAGTTTAAGATATATGAAGTTCACAGTTTGTTGGATATTCCATATAATTAATTGAGATTTGGGTAATTGTCACTGTTAGAAGGGTTTTATTTTCTTATTAATTTTCTGTTTGGTGATTATTTTCAGGATTTAAGCCTGAAATTTCCATTTTACAGGTTAAAATCGAGAGCTTGAAGGGGAAGAAGCTTGGATTGTATTTCTCAGCATCATGGTGTGGTCCGTGTCAACGATTCACCCCTAAGTTAGTGGAGGTGTACTCTGAACTCTCTCCAAAAGGTGATTTTGAGATCATTTTTGTCTCAGGAGATGAAGATGCAGAACTATTCAATGGTTACTTCTCTAAGATGCCATGGCTTGCAATCCCTTTTTCTGATTCAGAGACACGTAGCCGCTTGGACAAGTTGTTCAAGGTGATGGGAATACCTCATCTTGTGCTCTTGGATGAAAATGGTAAAGTCATAACTGATGAGGGAGTTGAGATCATTCAAGAGTATGGAGAGGAAGGGTACCCTTTCACCCCTGAAAAAATCCAAGAATTAAAAGATTTAGAAAAAAAGGCCAAGTCGGAACAGTCCATAAAAACTATCTTTGTTTCCCGTTCACGTGACTTTGTAGTTACATCTGATGGAAACAAGGTAACTATGATGACTGTGTTGATTGCTAAAATGGTATTGTAGTTTTCTTGCTTTTCTGAATGGATTTGAATATATCATTATATCCTAATCTATACTTTGTTCTTAATTTGTAAACTAGGTGCCTGTGTCTGAACTTGAGGGAAAGATTGTAGCACTATATTTCTTAGAGTCTTCAGACGAGGAATCTGCTGATTTTACTCCAAAACTTGCTGAAGTTTATAAGAAACTGAAAGAAAAGGGGGAGAATTTTGAGATTGTTGTGGTATCTCTTGATGATGAAGAGGAATCTTTCAAGGAAAGCTTTGTGGCACCTTGGTTGGCATTGCCCTTCAAAGACCAGAGCTGTGAGAAATTAATTAGGTACTTTGAGCTCTCGACCCTTCCAACTGTTGTTATTATTGGCCCTGATGGCAAAACTCTCCACTCTAATGCTGCCGAAGCAATTGAAGAACATGGGATTCAGGCCTATCCCTTCACACCAGAAAAATTTGCAGAGCTTGCAGAAATAGAGAAAGCAAAAGAGGAAGCACAAACTCTGGAATCAATTCTGATTTCTGGGGATTTGGATTTTGTCATTGGGAAGGATGATGCTAAGGTATGATTGTTAGGTTCCTTTGATGCTGTTAATTCTTCAATATCCTTTAAAGCTTAAATTATGTTTCGGAACATTAATTTAAGCCTTTCATTCTCCACATGAGTATAAGCGATGGTTAGCAGCAATGCTGCTACTCAACTCAGCCCCCTTATTTCTGATGAGTAATGAATTTATCTACTATTTCAGGTCCAGGTGACCGACTTGGTGAGGAAGACCATTCTCTTGTACTTCTCAGCACATTGGTGCCCACCATGCCGTGCCTTCACGCCAAAACTTGTTGAAGTATACAAGAAGATCAAGGTGAAGGATGAAGCATTTGAAGTGGTTTTTATTTCTAGTGATAGTGATCAAGCCTCCTTTGAGGAATATTATTCAGGAATGCCCTGGCTGGCACTTCCTTTTGGTGATGCTAGGAAGCCATTGTTGAGTCGCAAATTCAAGGTCCAAGGCATCCCCATGCTTATAGCCATTGGACCAACTGGAAAAACTGTTACAAAAGAGACCAGGGATCTGATCATGGACCATGGGGCCGATGCCTATCCTTTCACTGAGGAGCGTTTGAAGGAGATTGAAGCACAGTATGAGGAGATGGCAAAGGGGTGGCCTGAGAAACTGAAACATGAACTGCACGAGGAGCATGAGCTCGTGCTCACTCGTCTTCATTATTTCAAGTGTGATGGATGCAATGAAGAAGGACAAGCGTGGTCATTTTTGTGTGAAGAATGTGACTTCACTCTCCATCCGAAGTGTGCCCTGAAAGAAGATAAAGAAACCAAAGCTGATGAAATGGAAGAAGGAAATCCAAAAGAAGGTTGGATCTGTAAAGGGGAGGTCTGTACTAGAATTTGATGGATTTTGTCCTTGGGGGTTTGGTGGTGCTGTTCTCTATATTTCACGTTTGTTTTCAAATGTAGCAGCCGCAGTGGTACTTATGCTTTGTTTCTTATTGGGCTTGGAGATACCCTGGTATCTGTCCAATTGTTCATGCTGATGCAGCCATAATCATATCTTTGCTATGAAATAAAAAAACTTTGAAAATCTGTCTCCAATAGCAATGTTCAAGACATTGTTAAAAGTTATCAAAATTGACTTAATTAAAAGTTATCAAAATTGACTTAAATTTTGAATAAACGGTAAAATTGATTATAACAATAAAATTATTATAATTGTAATTAAAAAAATTAATAAAAAATTTATATTCAATAAATTTTATTAAAGTTGATATTTAAATTCAGTAATGAAATTCAAATTTAACCATAAAAGATGTATTTGTGAATTTGAATTTAATGGCACCTTCAGTTGCTGTCCGCGATTGTGCCCGACTATATTGCACGGTGAAATTCATGCGTTTAGATTTCCCTGAGAAGTAAAAATAAATCCAATTGGCCACTGGCCATTTTTAGTGCAGTAGCTCACCAAGCAATTTATTATTATTATTTTTTATCCTTTAGTTTTTAGTATAAATACAAACATATTCTTAAACTTTATTTATTTATTTAAAATTTTGTAAATAATTTTTTAATTTAATATAAAAAAATTATTAGATATAATAATATTTTTAATTATTTTATTAAAATAATTTTTAATTATTATTAATTTTATAAATATTAATAATTTAAATTTATTATTATATATAATTTTAATTTAATATCTTTAATTTTTTAATATAATTTATTTAATTATTATCATTATTTTTATTATTAATTTTAATTTTATCGTTATAATATATTTTTATTTTTATCGATCAATCTTACTGTTTATTTAAATAAATTATTAATTTTGATTTCCTATTAATTGAATGATGGATTTATCGGTGTTAATCAGGGCCTTCGAACCAGACAACTCCCAAAGTTTAGGGTGGAATACTTTTATTATATATATTTACTCAGTGCCATTGAATTAAAAGAAAATATGGTTATAAATGATATTGATTACTAGTAGTAATGTCTCTTGGTGATTGGCAGATATAATAATTCTCTGCCGGCAATAGTAGGAACCAAGTGAACACCTTGGTTCTGGTTCTGACACATGACTAAGTCAACGTAAGATCGATAGTCCTGACTAAATTACAAGAAGCTTCCCTTTGGGTGTATGGCTGAAAACGTACAAGTCCAAAACAGCTTTATGAAGGCCAAGCTTGTTGCCGCGTCGGATTTGCCATCCTCATGTGCTTCACGTGTTGTACCTAACTTACAAAAATATTCAAAAGAAAAAGCTGAAAAAAGTAATCCATCGACAATTTCCAATTGCCGAATTTTAAAAGCTGGATTTTCTTTTTGACGTAGAATCTCAAATGGAATGAATATTCTTGTCACCAGATCCACGCTGTAAGTTAATCCCATTTTCCGTGATTCTTTGTCTTAATTTGTCGTTGCCAAAGCTGTTAGATTTCTGCTTCGAATGTTTATTTGTTTCTGATTCTGGGTTTTCTGGTCTCCGCCTTTATCATTTCATTGTAACTTTTAATGGGTAGTGATTCCAATTGGCCTGTTTTTGAATAAGAACCTTGAATTTTGCTGCAGACGATGATATATTGCTATGAATTTGGCTCAAAGTTGTTTCATTTATGAATTATTTTTTTTAATCTGGGGTTACTTTAGAGCTGGCTTTGATTTATTGTATAAAAGGTTTGTCTATGGGGATAATTGTTTCTTCAATCTGATTATAGAAGTTTTTGATGGTTTACATTCTTACCAAGTTTTCTAAGTATAAAAATATTACCTTCAACAGATGTGCTTTCAGTTAATCAACTGATGAAAAGACTTGAAAAGATACTGCTAATGGGAGTAAACAAATTTTGGTTTACTGAAAAGATTTCATCCCCACACATTCTGGGGCTGTAGTAGAAATCAGAGATACGGCTTAATGCTCTTGACCTATCCAGAACATCTGATTAGAATATGATTTCTTCTTCAGGTTTATTTGTAAAGTCAGGTTAAAAATACAATAGATAATTCTGAAGGTTGTCTGAGTGTGAGTGGTTTGTTAGTTTAACTAAGGGTCTGTTTTATCTTTTCTTTGGTACGGATGATGACAAACCTACATTTAACCTCAATGCATAAGCTTATGTTTTATGTTATATCATTCATCCTGTATTTATTCGAAGTTATACAGGTTTGGTGGTTATACACTTTTGCATCTAACATTTGGAATGCAGCATAGTCAAGAAACTAATACCTAAGTTCTATGATAGTTATCAAAGTATCTTACCACCAAGCCTGGCATTCTCTGCTATCCATAGCACTTGCTCATATTGTAGTCTTATCCAAAGCAATGACAAAGAACACATCCTTTTGTAACTTTTGTATCAATGTTTAGATTTTAACAGGTGAGATGGAAGGGAAAAAAATAAGCATGGATATTCCTAGGAGTGACAGAAATGGAAAACCAAAGGTTCTTGATCCAGCATTTTCTGCCTTTTTTGTTCAGCTTCCCCAAAAACTTCGAAATTGTCTTAAGGTTAGTCATGGCTCCTATGTAGAGGGGAATTCATTCTGTGAAAGCCATGTTGATGGATGGGGTTTTCTATATTAGAATTTGAATGACAAGTCTCTATTTTTTGTCACAGTCACAACTCAAGAGATTACCAAAAGATAATGATGGAATAAAATCAGTGAACCCTTTTTTTGGGAAGGAGAGGGCTTCATCTGCTGGATTGGGGATAGATCTGGAGAAACAATTGCAAGCATGGAGAGAAAATCCATCATGGGTCAATCAACCTCCAGAAATAAAGGTAAAGAGTGTTGGGAAATTTTGCTGTTTCATTCTCAAGAATGATGCTAGTTTCGCCCTTTTTCTCGGACATGATGTCTATCCTAGAATATGGTTTTTAACATTATATCGGTCAAGAAAAGGACACTTTCATAGTATTTTATTCTTATAGGCAACACTGAAGAAAAATCCTGGTTTCTAATTTTAAAGATAATTATATATCCAGCACTACATTGCTGCCATCTTACGTTCTTGATTGCTTCATTGGATATTTTATCTTAAGAATCTATCAGTTGGCAAAGTATTAGGAATCTAGTGTCATTCTTGGCAGGTCAGTGCTCCAAAAGGTTCTCTTTGCAACCTTAAGGCAAAAGTTGATGTTGGGTTGCCTCCAGATACAGTGTATAATATTGTAACTGATCCTGATAACAAGAGAGTTTTCAAAAATATTAAGGTGAGTGGTATATTTTAACCCTCAATAGTAGATGTGCAGTTTTCTATCATGGTTAGACCTAGCAATTCATGTTTCAGTATCGTGTTTCGTGTTGTGTTTGATATGTATAATGACATGAATTATTAAAACACGAACATAACACGAATTATAAAATGTGTTTAAATCCTAAACATGGACATAACATGTTTATTATATGTATTACATGCAACATGACACGATTAACATATGTATAATTAATCCATTTAAATACGATACGAATAACATGAATAACACGGATATACACGAATAGACACAACTAACACGAATATATAAAAGAACACGATTAAAATAATAAATAATTATAAATTATACATTATTTACAACTTAATAAATTGGACATATTAATAATATAAAAAATAATTACATATTAAAAAAATAAAAAAATTTAATACCCATTGAATATGTATTTAATATATATATTTAAATTTTAATATATATTACATAATTATATTAATTTTTAGTATCAAATTTAAAGTGATAAACTATTAAAGATTAAAGAATAAAATAATAATATATAGGACTAATATTAATATTTATATTATATTTATACTATTAACATAAAAAAATAATTTTATAATGATTATTAAATGAGTATCATAATTAAATATTTAAAATAGTTTTTATATAATATTAAATAATTAATTAAGTATCATAGTTAAAAGATTAAAAATTAAAATAATTTTTATATGTTTATATTAAATTAAATAAATATAAAAAATGTGTTAAATGTATTAAACATGTTAATGTGTACTTGTATGACAAAATTAAATTAAACATGTCATATTACGTGTTTAGATGTGTCAACACGTATAAAACATGAATTGTGTAGTATCAAAATTTATGTCGACACGAATAAACATGAAATACATTTTTTTAAAACACGAACGGTTTTTTTCATGTCGTTTTTATGTTGTATTATTGTATCGTATATAAAATTGCCAGGTCTAATCATGGTACAACTACCAATTTGAGGCACTTACATTTGTAGCTTCAATGTTTCAAGCAGTTTCAGAAATTTCTGATTTTTATTTAACAACTGATCTTCTGTTTCAGGAAGTGATATCTAGAAAGGTTTTAGTTGATGAAGGTCAAAGACAGGTGGTTGAAGTGGAGCAAGCAGCTTTGTGGAGATTCCTTTGGTGGTCAGGGACCATCTCGGTTCATGTTCTAGTGGATCAAAACAGAGAAGATCACTCGGTAAGGATATTTTTTCCAATTATTTGATTTTAAAATCCATAAATGAGTTCTATCCGTGAGAAGTAGGACTTTGGTTTTTGTGGTGCTGAGTTACATAAAACAATTTCAACCCTAAATGTTCTGTCGTGGTTGCTTTTATAATGTTTCGAGTACCTGACTTCAAAAGATTTTTATTCTGCACTTAGCCAAGCATTTAATTTCTTTGGCTTAAACTTATCCTGTTCAGATTACCAATGCATAAGTTATTTGCAAAAAGGTCATGCATGGGTTACTAGCAGTTGCTTTTAATTCTAACGATGACTGTTAGCAGATGAAGTTCAAACAATTAAACACGGGATTTATGAAAAAGTTTGAAGGCCATTGGAGAGTAGAACCTGTTTTTGTGGATGAGAAAATCTGTTTTCCTTTCAAACCTAAAACATTGGCAGAGTATTGTTCATGTACCGGGGGTAAAGGAAGAATTGGGTCAAAGGCGAGCTTGGACCAACTGATTCAGCCAGCCATTGTCCCTCCCCCACCCATTTCTTGGTATCTAAGGGGAATAACTGCCAAGACCACTGAGATGCTGATAAATGATCTACTTGCTGAAGCTGCCAGACTCACGGGTGGCTGTGACACTGAAAATTCAAACAAGGAGCTTAGATTATCTGAGGAAATAAGTTATCATCACCACCACCAAGATGAGCAGATATACGACATTAAAGAAAGATGGAACTTACGTAGGAGAAATGTGAAGCAGCATCGTAAGAAGCTGTCGACTGCGGAATCATTTACTTTTTGATTAGTTTAATTTCATCTGTAGTCTGGTGACTGTTGCATCAGTATTTTATATGAAAATTGTCCGACAACGTTTTAATGATGTTTCCATTTGAACATTTGAAATATTTGAAAAAACATTTGTATCGCTTATGTAGTTCTAGTTCAATGATAATAAAACATAAATTTGATAATTTATTTATTCATGTCTATCAATTTCATATTTAATACGATTAAAACATAAAAATTATTATATAACAATTCGTATTGACATTTCAAATAATATTATTTTTTAATTTTTGCAAAATTCATATATCATTTTTGTTAAAATTTTAAATTTGTCTCATTATATATTTTTTGGTGATTAAAATTGTCAAATTTAGTAATGCATGATTAGTCAATGAATATAAGAGCAATAAATTTAAGTCAGACATTCCTGATAAAGTAATTGAACTATTTTCTATATTATTAAGTCATTTGTACTCGCAGCACAAGCAATAAATCTTGTTGAGCAAAACAAACCCCCAGAAGATCATATAGCCAAATGTAAGTCTCACCAGAATCGAAATGGAAAGTTTGCATCCGAAGTACATCAGATATTCAGAAGAAAAACAGTTGGAAGTAAATGATTTCATTAGGAAAAAAAAAAAAAAAAGCACTAGGTATATGGTATATGTAATCTACGGGAGATGCAACACAATCTTGTCTAATTGTGAGTTGTAACCCCCTTTATTGCTCTCCATATAGCTTTCCAAATTATTAGTCCTGCAATGTATCTACTATGCTACACACGTTCTTCAAGATTAAATTTTGTAACTTGCATATTTGCCTAGAGACTTACATAAGAATCACTTCATCTTGTATGCTGCATCTAAGTTTGAGGTGGCTGTAAGTGCTACATTCCGTATACGGTACACTCAATACCTTCATTCTCATTTGAATCACTGTTTAGCGAGCAATAAATCTTATCTCCGGCAGAGGATACGCTGATGGGGAACCTTGGCAGTATTTTATGGACCATCAATCCATGTAGACTCTGCTTCTCATAGCTCATGAATGCACCCAATGCCCCAAGAAAACCTTCATGCCGCAAAAACATTGCTTTAGCCTCACCTTTGGACCTGCAACATGCATTTCAGGGAAGAGAGCAATATAAATTAATCGAAAGTCAAGAAGTCAAGGAAGATGGATATTGGTAAAAAGACAAACGTTAGAACGTGACAGCTTCTAGGCAACTGGACCTGAAATCGACCCATGGAATTACATAGCAAGCAGCAAGACTAAAAATAAGATGGCCAGCTCATGAATTCTATTTCACTTTTTATCACAAATTACTGAAGACAATCTTGTTTTTTTTTTTGGCTGGCAAAAGATCACTATTAGGATTTCAAGGAGGTTCCTTGTTCCTCCTTTACTGAATAGAAGTTTGCAATAACAACTAACTCTCCAAGGTCAGCTTTCACATTTAATTTTCACTAAAGATTCCATTAAAGGATGAATTGAACTTTAGAAAATGAAATCATTTAGCAATCAGCATCAAGTGTTGAAGAACTATCATTTGAGTTTCATGAAAGGGAAAACATATAAATGCATTATGATGAGGAGTGTAAGGGAAGAACTAACACCATAATAGTTACCAGAAATGAACAGCAACAGAAATAGTGTCCAAAGTATAGGCATGACCCCGAATAAAAAAGCCGGCAAAAAATATCCGCTTAAGCCCAAATCTAAGTGCATTCAAGTAAGAGATCTGGGGAAAAAAAAGGAAAATGAAGCCAACAGAACAACCATTAGTATTAATTAGAAGCCACACCAAAATATCTCTTTTTTCTTTAATTTACTTAAGCATGATGCATATAAGATACTAACATGAGAGAAATCATGAAAGCAAAGTTTCTTTTTCTTTGAACCAACAAAAAATATAATCAAACTACTGAAGACCTAAGAGCTGGTCCTGACAAAAAATTATACAAATAATTAGATACCTAAACAAATTCATTATACCTGTGAGGAAGGGAATGACAAAGCATAACCATATAAATCAATTAGGCAAAACAAGAGTCTAGAATTCTGATCCCAAAAGAGTTACTAATACTTGGATAAACAATTTACAGACAGACCAGGCATGAGAAGCAATATCTACTAATATTGAGGCCAAAATCCTTATATCCATACAAAGTTTCCATTCTAGTAGGCAAGCTTCAGGTTATAACTGTTTCATGATAGAAATTTGATTTACCATATGCCAGAAAACCATCACATAGCCACTAACCTGACCAATATTATTTGAAATCATTCGTAAAAGGGAGCGGGAGATGTCTTCAGGTTTGTAATCTTCCAGCTCTTTATTATCAGAAATGGCCTTGCCAAAGCTGGAAGCAATAGTTGTTGCAGAGAGACCAATCTGTCATTAGTAAAAGAGTTGTGAAGCAGTTTCTTGTTACATGTCAAAAAACCAAATATGGAAATTTACAGACTTCTGTTATGTTGAATCAAATTGAGGTCCTGTTATATGAAAACTCCATAAATACATCAATATGGAGAATGGGAAGTTCTCATATCTAAGTTAGAATAAAGACATCTCTGTACCTTCGCATAGTCCGTTCCACCATAGATATCACCAACAAGCATATCTACAACTCTATTATTTCCCAGCTGACTTAGCTCCAGCAACTCATCAAAACTAAGACAGAAAACACATTGGTTTATATACAATGAAACAATATATGATAGGAAACTAAAGATAAGATTAGACAACCAGATCATAATTACTTCTTGCACTTTGTCAAAAGTCTTCCCAAACCCCAGAAGGTGCCACCTCCAACGTTAGTTCCACTAACTCGCTCAAACTTGCCATCTCCATCCACCTATATACCCAAAAGACTTACAATTAATAATATATGTTAAAAGCCTTAGATATTACCAAAGTAATGAAGATATCAAGAATACCTTTATCATGCTAACACCAGACCCGATGTTAACAAGAAGATAAGGATATAAATCATTATGATCAATCTGAACAAATTCCTTCTGACCATCCAAGTATGTAAAGGCTTCTTGGGGGACTGCCTACTCAAAGAACAATACGCAGGTAGACAATGAGTATGTCAAAAAAAAAAAAAAAAAACACAGAAGCTATGTGCTAACCCTTATGAATATGTGACAAATATGTAAAATTAAAATTGTATTTCATTGCCATGCATATTTTGCATTGATAAATATATTCCTCCACCCTAAAAGGGAAAAAAGACTAAAGAAAGGTTCACACTAACTTTCAGAGAATATCATGACTGAGACTAAAAGAATAAATACCAAAAACTTCCAGATATAAACAATAATCTCTTTCATTTTCAAAAACAAAGACATGAGTACATTCTCTAAATCTAGAGATCTGAGAAGAAGAAAAAGGAAGAAGAAAACTTCAAAATCACTTCAGATAAAACTTGCCAAGACTCCACAAAGAGTCAGACCTCATAACAAAACCTACTAGAATAGTCTCATAGATAAAATAACTCCGCCATCAAATAGGCAATGCAACAACTGATGCATTCTCCAAATGTGCAATAGCAATCTGGAACTGAAAAATAGAATGGAATGTATGGTGTGCAGTGAAATTTTTATCAGCTACCACTGCTCATTTTGTATCTTAATTTCTTAGACTCGGTTTAGATATCCACTTTGATGCCCTATGTTTCATAACATTTCCTGGAAACAGCCTCCAGATTTCCATTAAGGAAAAAAGTTTAAAGCTTGTTCTTGGTTATTTATATTGCATAATTTGGAGTTCCTATTGTCATTAGTTTAGGATTTTAACTTTTCTAATTTTGGAAGTTATGCGGTTCCTATCCTCTTACAGGTCCAGAAGTGCTAATATCTTTCCATTGTTTCACTTACACTTAAGCTGCCCATAGCATCAGATTGTAAACAGTTAACCATTTAGACATGCAGTCGAATGTCAAATTCTGCATTTACATCATATTATCTGCTGTGATGTTGAAGATATCATAATCGTGACATAAAGCCAAAATGAATTCAAATATATGTAACAAGTATGCACAGATTTCCAAAAAAGTGAAAAGAAAGTGACAAAGGGAAAAAAACCATGAGCACACACACGTATTTGGGAGGACAACAGAAAGATTGGCTTCAAGATTAGTTGGAGGTTAAAAGACTACTTATCTTACAAGAGGACTTTAATAAGAAATAAGAAAGACTCCAATTTGTACATACCAACAAACATTTATGCAGTATTAGAATCCCACCTTAAGCAAAAAATTTGCACCAGTCACTAGGCAGTCCATTTCATCTTCCTTGTCAAGACTAATTCCGAGCTTTTCTTTGAAAAGGTCAGCAAATTTGTAAGCACCGCCACCTGTCGCCTGCAAACAGGTATTAGCCATTTAATATATCTTTATACCACAAAGCATCCTAAAAAATATGACTGAAACATGCAGTTAGAAAGAATAAGTTCTCAAAGCAGTAAATAGTTATAGCATTGAAACAAGCAGTCAGAGAAATAAAATTAAAAAAAAAGAAAAGAAAAGAACATTGATTGCATAATTAGTTAATTAAATTTATCAATTACTAAGAATGGATAGCTCCTATCTAGATTATAAAACAGAATATCTAGATATGTTGAACTTCTTCGAAAACAATAGATATACCAGCAAAATTTTACCTTAATAAAGATCTTGTCACTGGAAGGAGAAGTGCAATCATGGAAACCTGAATTCAAGTTTGTTAATAAGAAAATAAGCAGAAGCACTGTCAGAATAAAATAAGCTTCAAAAGCATATTCAAGAATAAGGACCTGAAATGAGCAATAGCAAGTGAGCAACATAACTACTCCGTTGGTTAATCAAGCCAACTGTCTTTCCTAAGTACTAACCAGCGAAGAACAAATAATTTCCAGCAACATAACGATATTTTATTAAAAAAAAAAAAAGATAAGGAGAGTTTTTGCCCAAATCACATGATCCTAACACACAAGTACGAATATCACTGAACATAAAATAGTGGTCTAAGAAAAGAATATATGATTTCCAAAATTCAAAATCAAAATAAGAGAAAAAAAAAAACTGTGGCACTTTTTATTTTTCTGGAGTAATATATTGCCAGTCATGTCAATATACTCTAGAAACCTTAAGCAAAATCAAAACACTTACCAGTGATTATGGTGGATATTGAGAATTTAATTCACCAACCATCTTTTGCATTTTATAGTTAACTACGAGTAATAGCCCAGTAAGGAGATCCTAGCACATCTCTAAATGGTGCATGATACTGAAATATAGCTAGGGTAGGCTCGTGGACAAGCCAAAGCTCAACCAAAAATATAACTAGAAATAACTTTTACTGTGCTAAATGAGCTCGAATAAATACTTAAATTAAATTAAGCAGCTCAATCCTCATGTAAACTCAAATAAGATCCACCAATCCCTATTATTCAGGTCAGATGGCTAAGTTATAATCTATGGCAGTTGGAAATCAGACTTTCTTAACAAGTTAAAAGCTCACTTCTTGTATATCACTCAAAGACTGCCAAAAATTAATGACATTCAAGAACTCCATCTAAAGAATGATGAGTACAACAAACGAAAGTAAACATACCACCAAGGCGAAGTTTCTTGGACCGAATGAACTCCAAGCAATCATTTATCTTGCTAGTTTCAAACTTTGCAAAATGAAGCCTTCCTTCGAGAATAGGTTGACTGGTATCACTATTGGAAACACCAAGACTCTCATTGTGGGACCTTAGCTCATCATTGTCTCTACAACTGTCATTAATTCTAGAGAAATATACCAATTTGATCAAAGAACCTGTCAACCAACACAGTTGATTGTAAGAAGTTTCATCCCTGAAATGTTAATGGTTAGATACTCTAAATGGAATGTGAAATAAAGACATTATTATAAATGTTTGAGTCCTTCTTTCAGTACATATGAAAAAATATTTCAAAAAACCGATGCTTAACTCAATTGGTTCGTACAGCTATCCTTAACAGATAACATCCAACAGGTATGGTTTCCAAATCCCACCACCCAAAACCCCTTTCCCTATCCCAAGCTGCGCCTATATATATATATATATATATATATATATATATATATATTCGAACTTTAGACCGCAAAGGCTTAAACTCTCCTAATAACTGTAAGCCCATGTCTGGGTTGTTCCATAAATCTTTCAGTCAGTTAACTAAACAAACTATAAATTCTAACAATGAATTAGGAAACAAGAAAACACTAACTAACAAGTAGATAATATAAGGTGAGGAAACAAAGTAGGTTTGAAGACATAACAAAGTAGTCCAAATCAGAAACAACCTTGTTAAAACAAAATTAAAACAGCGGAATTCAACATAGTAAATACGAAGAATTCAAATTGGGTAATAAATTGGCCCAAAACAGAAAAAAATTGGGAAATTCGAGAAATTCAAAGATTGTAAAAAACAAACCTCCAATATCGAGAGCCAAATGAGATATTTGACTTTGGGGTTGAGAATTTTGTTGGTTTGAAACAGCGGCGAGGAGATCCATTATTATTATTATTATTTGTTTATAATTTTGTGCTTAAAGCCAGAAGGCAGAAAGAAAAAGGGTACTTATGTTTCTGGGTTTCTGCACCTAACCTGTCTTGGAAGAGAAATCATTATTGATTCTGTCAGTCAAAGGTTTTAGTGTGCCGTCTTCGGTCTGCACCCACTAGGCCATGCCACCAAACTACCTCTAACAGAAATTAGCCCCATGAAGCCCGGCCTTTTCTTTTTCCCATTTTTGGTTTAATTTTTTTTCTTTAGGACAATCAATAATTCAATACTCATTTTACATTTTTTTTGGTCTTTTTTTACGTTAAAATATTAAAAAAAAAACAGGTTTTTTTTTTTAATTTTCAAATAAGTTTTTTTATAGTGTTCAATTAAGTCTTTAACATATTATTATTTTTTAATTAAATCCATCTTAACCAAAATTGTTAAAATTTATTATTTTTTGTTACCTTAATATAATTTTTTGCTAAACACCTCATTTTCTATATGATGGTCATTTTTTCATTTATCGACTAAAGGGTATAAAATTTTTCTAAATTATAATTAAAAGATTATTTAAACCTTATTTTTATTAAAATTAACCAATTTCATTAATATTTATTTGTATTCAGTTAAACTCTTATTTAGATAAAAAATTAATATGGTTCATTTTTTTGTAGATTAAAATAAAATTTCATGTAACATCAATAAAATAAATAAAAGTTTGCTACTTAACATAATTAATATATGTGAAAATTAAATAAAATAATTTTTTTTCTTTTTTTTCTACTCTCTATCTCTATTTGAGATTCATCTAAGAATTTTAACTGATTATAATTTAGGGTTTGATTGATTAAAATTTATCTCATGATTAGATTTCATCTATTTAAAGGTTCAATTGAGTTGAAATAAAAAATTTAAGACTTGACTAATTCTAATAAAATGTTAAAATTTATATAATTATTGAATTATAATTTAAGAATATTTTTTACCCTTTAGCCATGTTTATATGTCACAACAAAATAAATGTTTTGTAGACACAAATGTTTATCATACTAGAAATGAGCTTGCATGATGCCGTTGGTTCAAATTTTTTTATAATTAAAATAAATATTTTTAAATTATTTAAAATAATCCATAATTTATTTGTCAATTGTGGTGGTACATGTAGGAAATATATAAAATGACTATTACCAATGTTGATGTTCGGATAAAAAACCCCCAAAAAATAGATAAAGCATTTGCTTCATAATGGATTTGAGTACATAGCATATGACAAATTTAAGAGTTAATGTTAAATTTGTATCATTATTTTTTGAAGAAGAAAATACTATAGTCAAGAAAATTTATATTTTTTTCCCTAGCTAATAAATAAATGATGATAGTATAAGAACAATAGGCATCTCCAAAGATTTTTTACAAGATGAACCAAATCATTTGTCTTAAATCTATACCAAATAATAAAAGTAGTCCCCATATTGGGACTGTTCATCCAATATTCATTAAGAGTCCAAAAGTTTTGTCAAGTGTAGCTCATTAACTGGTTCCTCAATTTTAAAATTTTTTTTTTAGTTAAGCCCTTATCTTCAACATTCTATTTCTATTTATTTTCACTCAATGCAAGAAAAAAAATTAAAAATTGAGAAAAAATAAAATTTGATCAGATAACAAACAGTTCTTAGTCTTCTGTCTTTAATTTTTTTTTTTTTTTTTTTTTACAAAAAGAAAAAGCTGCTTTAGTTTTCATAAAAAATTTTTCCTTTTGTCAATTTAATGCAAACTTTTCAACTCTGCCCTTTACCAAAATTTTCTTTCTTTTTTTTTTTTTATTTAGAAGAGTAATTCACTTTCAGTAAAAATATAAATCAAAATGTAATGAAAATAACCAAAAAGGGAAAAAAATCTTAAAGGAAAGGGAAAATAATTATTAGCAATAACATTTGATCAATTTATACACTTAATTGAATGACGCATGTCCTTAATTGTAAAACTTGATTGTATTGAATTGAATAAGTTATAATACATAGATTATAAAGTTTGCAATTAATTAAGTTCATAAATCTTATTTATCAATATCTTTATTTTTTATTATAAATTACATGAATCTAATTATTTATGAATTTAACTATCAATGAACTTAATTATTCATAAATTTATAGTATCCATGAACTTATTTAATTGAGGATGGATATATTTTGTATTTAGTGTCATTTACATTTAATATTTTGAGTTTAAATTCATTTATACTATTGAGTGTGATAAATAATTCTGAATCAAACTCAAATTACATGAATCTAATTATTTATGAATATATGATATTTATAAATTTAATTAATTACGGATAAATGTATTTAATGATTAATGTTATTTAAATTTAATATATCTATTAAATATTATAAATACATATTAATCAAATCCAAATAATTATATTTTAGTTTAAATTTTTATGTTTCAATATGCTGTAAAAGTATAAAGTATTTGTTTTGTATAAGTAGAAATTAAGTTTTATTTTTTAATTTATACATCAATATGGTTGGTTCCATTTGAATGAATTTTTTTATTTATTCACCGGAGATATTATTTTATAAATATTTATTATTTGTCTATATTTAATAAAATTGTGATCGGAGCGAAGCCGGGTAATTTTCTAGTTTTCATAAAGGAAGGTTCCGTTTCTTTTAGTTGAGATGCTTCATATTAATAGTTTCTCTGTTTAGAACTTGTAAAATACTAAAAAAAACAATGAAAATAAAATTTAAGATAAAATGATCAAAAATAAGAAATAAAAAATTCAATCAGAATAAAGAAAATAATATATTTTAGTTTAAAGATATATATCATGCACACAACATCTTGTAATTAGAGGATTAAATAGGTTTAAAATGACAGGTGATTTAAAATTAAATAATAGCCGAGAATATAACAATTTGTAACTAAAAACTGTATAAATATAAAATTGACATATGCATTGATTGATTCAGTTATATTTGTGAAGTACACAAGTGCATAAGAATAGCAAACATAACATAAAATTAGTAAAAACATCCCAAATTAAAAATAAATCCTTTATACCACAATTAGTATCATTTGAAATGAGCATATACATGTATCTTGTTAAACTTTAAAACTAAAATTTTGTTGTAAAAAATTTTAAGAATTTATCTTTAGCTGGAGTATGGTTAGTGGAGAAGAAAGAACAAATGACGACAAAAAGGGAGGCGATGGAGAAGTTGTCAATTTCTTTTAGAGGGAGAGAGTGAGAGAATTAAAAATTTAAAGAGAGGGAGAGAAGAGAAAAAATGAATAAAAAATTTGAGATTTTATAGTTGCACCTAAACAGTGTGTTACGCAAAGAGGAAAGATGTCATAATGATTTTTATATGAGAACTCGATAGTTAGATATTAAAAATAAAGTCAGCACTAATTTTTTTAATTAAAAGTGATTAATCGCTTAAGAAAATTATCTTTATAATAAGATCCTTAAATTAATTAAGATTTATTAAAAATGTATTTTTGTTAGTGAAATCAAATTTGGATTCGATAGTTTGATTATTGTTATAACATATAGATCCTTAAACTTATCGTTAGATACAATAAGAGAAGTAATTACTAATATTTTTTATTCAGGTTTGATTGGTCACCTAATTGAATCTGTTTTTTTTTAACTAAAAGTTTCAAGCTTGACTTAAATATTCTTAAAAAAATAGATTCTAATCTACGAAATCAAAATTGAGTTTGAAAGTATGATTACGTATATGAAATATTATAGCACCCTTACAATGCCCATTTAAAAGAGAATACCAGTCGATTTCATATTATCCAAAGTCTTAAAACATTAAAATCTTTCAATAATTTGATAAGATTTTATTTGAAATTTAAATATCCCAATAGTTTGATAGGATTGAAAATTTCACTTTATGTAAAAGAAATATAATTAAACCTTCTAATAGTTTGATAAAATTTAATTACAACATTTAAATTCTCCAATAACTTGGTAGGATTGGGGAAAATAAGTTTGTTTAAAATATCATTAAATCTTCTAATACTTTGATAGGATCTAATTCAATATTTAAATCCTCCAATACTTTGGTAGGATTGAAAAATATTTGAAATTTTACTTTTAAAAAAAATAATTAAACCCTCCAATGGTTTGGTAGGATTTAATTTGATATTTAATCCTCCAATATTTTGATGATTAAAAATATTTTTTATATGAATTAATTTAAAGGCAATAAAAATAAATAAAATAAAATAAAAAACCAAAAAGTTGGCTCGGCTTGCTTACAACTTGACTTGTTGACTACAGATACAAAGGATTGGCTTAGTGACTCGACTTGGCTCACAGCAAATAGAACGCAGGTCAACAAATGGCTCATGATCAAGTCGAGTTGTGAATGTGGAAAAACGCATGGATCTCCCTGGTTTTACTTACTCAAAACCATGCCCATTGATACCAAATAGAAAAGCCAAAATCTGTTTCTTTTCCTCATTTTTCTTTTCTCTTTTCTTTTTCTAAGCCTCTTATCCTCTAACTTCTCTTTAAAACCCTTTTGAATGTCTGCTGAAAAACTTTAAAAAAATTCAAATCCCAATGAAAAAACACATAATCTAGCAAAAATGTCGTCAGAAAATTCACCTTTGGCAAAACAACTCAACCAGAAACTTCAACAATCCTAGAAAATTCCAAATTTTTCTAAAAAAAGTCCTTAAAAAAATTTTCAATTTCTTTTTCAGCACTTTTATGTCCCTAAATCGAAATCCCTAAATTCCCAGTTGATCCTAAAATCCAACCAACAAACTTCTCTAAAAAAGATCAAAAGAAAACAAAACTACTTAAAAATTTTTTTCTCTCTTTTATGCAAAATTTTTTTTACTCCCTTGCTTTTTTCGATTGTTTTCTAATTGATATTTTTGTGTGAATTATAGGTCTTTAAATAGGCCTTTAATCCTACCTTCCATAGAACAAGGTTTTCTTCATTCCTTTTCCTAATTGAACTCCACCTTAGATTTTTATTCTAAGTATCTTTCTCATCCTCCTTAAAACAAGCCCATATTCATTCTTTTTCCAATTGGACTTTCAATTCAATCACCCTAAATAGAATCCATTCCTCCCTAAACTGATTCAATGTGAGACAAACTTTTTTTTTTGAAATACCATAAATTAATAAATAAACAAACCTAAA